CCTTCTTCCTTACAAACAAAACTGGTGCGCCTCATGGTGACACACTTGGCCGGATGAAACCTTTCTCTAGCAAATCCTTCAATTGTTCCTTTAACTCTTTCAATTTTGCCGGTGCCATTCTGTAAGGTGGAATTGATATAGGCTACGTGCCTGGCATCACATCGATCCCAAAATCAATCTCCCTGTCTAGTGGGATCCTAGGGAGCTCAGCTGGAAAGACATTAAGAAATTCATTCACAACTGAAACAAATTCAAGGTTGGGCGCCTCGACATCTATGTCCGTAACACGAACTAAATGATAGATGCACCCCTTCTTGATCATCTTCGCGGCCTTAAGGTAAGAAATAAACCGACCTTTTGGCAGTACATTATCTCCCTTCCATTCAACAATGAGCTTATTAGGTAACTAAAGTCTCATATCTCTAGTTCGACAATCGAGTTTGGCAAAACATGAATAAACCTAATCCATTCCCATTATTGCATCAAAATCGACCATCCCCAATTCAACAAGATCGGCCATGGATACCTACCATGCACCGTAACGACACAACCTCTATAAACTCGAGCAGCCGTAATAGACTCACCAACTAGAGTAGATACTGAGAATGGTTCATGAAGCTATTCTGGTTCTGTCCTAAATTCCATAGCAACAAAAGGGGTAACATAGGACAAGGTGGAACTAGGGTCAATGAGTACATACACGTCTTGAGATTGGACAAAACAGAATACCTGTAACAACATCTGGAGAAGCCTCTGCATTTTGGCGACCACTCATAGCATAGAACTAGTTGGGTACTCCTGATCTCTGTGCACCACCCTTAGCTGCACCATGCCCTGCGGGTGCTGGGGTACCTCGAGCTGGAGAGGGGGCTGAAGATGTAGGAGTCGCTGAACTGGATGACTGTGTTGTGCCCCTACCCGCACCGTGGCGGGATGCATGACAATGCCTCTGAATGTGGCCCCCCATCCTGTATCCATAGCGTACAGGTAACTCCATCTAGCAAATACCTGAGTGCATCTTCCCGCAACCGGGGCACGGGAATCTCTGCTGCTGCTGGGATCTCTCTCCTGACCGACCTCGCTAGTGGGATCCCCTGTTGCCCTGATTGGGCCTGAAACGACTCCACTGCTGCTGCTGGCTGGGCCCTGATGGCGGTGCACTAGCTGAAGACTGTGCAAGAGACTGGGACATCCCTGATGATCCTTCCTGGAAAGCTGATCTTCCCCCACCTAGTGACTCACCCATGTTGCCCGTAGATCGGGCCTTTCTGTTACCCTCTCTCTCCATCCTTTTCTTTAGTTTATAGTTCTCTGTGGCCTGAGCAAATGCCACCATCTTCTCATAATTCATGTCAGAATTCAAGGCAGCTGTAGAAGCCTCATTAATAGTCAAACGATTAAGGCCCTAAACAAATCGGCGCACCCTGGCCTCCATCGTTGGCAACATATGAATAGCATATTTGGACAGGCAGGCAAACTCCATGTGGTACTCCCACACACTTCTGCTACCTTGCCTCTGATTCTCAAACTCTGCTGCACGGGCTGCCCTTGTCTCAGCATGTAGGAAATGTTCTATAAAGGCATCGGTAAACTTGCTCTACCTCGCCGGAGGGCTCCCCTACTCACGGGAATCTTCCCACAATTAAAACCATGAATAGACCACCCCTTTCAGATGATAGGCAACCAACTCTACTATCTCTATCTCAGTTGCACGCATAACCTGGAGGGTCTTGTGCATCTCATTGATAAAATCCTGGGGGTCCTCTTCTGGATTTGCACCTGAAAACACCGGAGGGTGTAACTGAAGAAATCTGTTCACCCTAGAACTAGTGGAATCCCCTTGCTGGCTAGATGAACTGGGTGCAGCATTTGACCTCTGGGCCTGAGAGGCCACTAGCTGGGTCAACATCTGAATAACTCCCCTATGATCCCCATCAGAAATACCGGAACCGGAAACTGGGGCTGGAGGCAGAACATGAGTATCAATGAGAGGGATAGTGGCACCCTCCATAGATGTAGGAATTGGGGAAATCTGCTCTGTAATAGAAGAATCAGGTAGGGGGATAGCAGGGCGACTACCCTCACTCGCAGTATCAAGTAGGGAATCATCAGCCACTCTTGAGGTAACATTGGCTTCTTGGCCAATTCTAGCTATCTTCTTTGGTGTCATGTATTGAAAGTTGAAAGACTGCACTAGTTAGAGGGGAAATAGTCTGACAATTGCCGCACGATTCAGAATATCAAAGAAGGGTGTTATTCCTAAATGCCCAAGTAGCCTTCAACTTATAGATGTGGTTGACTACACACTGATAAGAAGGAATCTACTAGACACGGGTCCGTGATATCCTAGGACACTTTTAAACCTTAGGCTCTAATACCAAGTTTGTCACTCCTCAACCTCAGGAGGCGCGACCGACGCTCAATCGAGTGAACCCAACTGAGCAAGCCTTTATAACACTTTCTACCCAACTCAATATGGTTAAGGGAACCATGCTTTTGTTTATTTAGACATTAGGAGAGATCATATATTCAACATTGATAGTTTATTTTATATCATAAACCTTAAAGCGTGGTTATATTCCCAAAACATTATGCAGTTACAGTTTAGAGGAGACAAAAGTTTAGAATTACAACATAGTCTAGAGACCCATCTAGTACCTGAACATAACCCACACAAATGTCTACGGAGTCTCTAAGGGTACAAAAGACAGTTATGAAAATGCCGAAAACAAGGCCCCGGCTATACCTCAAAAGTGGAAATTTACAATAAAATATGTACAATATAACCACTTGAAGGAAAAAGGGGCTCACCAAGACTTGGAGAGGAAGATACTCTGCTACGCGCGATCGGCACTGTCCGCTATAGAGCCACTTACATTCATTCAAAAATGTAGCTCCCCCAGCAAAAAGGAGCGTTAATACCATGGAATAGTACTAGTATGTATAACTAAACACCATCTCATTAGAAAGAACTATCATACAAGAACAAGGAAATCACAAGGAGTCAATCAAAGGCTTTAAACGACACCACATCATCAAATAAAAGGTTCATATAACTTTCACATAATTTTCGTAGCTTTAGGTTGGGGCATTCCTTATTGTTGCATCATCATTCTCAATACCACCGCTTTCTTGAGTGGAATCTGATCACGGCCCGATTGCCTAAGCTGCCTCAATTGAGACATATACCTCAATCATTATTTCATCTCACTTTCCGATTTCATTTATCAACACAATGCCACTATGTATATAGCATGGCATCCGATCACGGCCCGATCGGCTAGGCCGTCTTACCAAGATGTTACCCTTTTCCATTAATAATTTCACTTCCATTTTTAGTTTCACATACATTAGTTCATCGACACTTGGGCCACAATTACCACATCATACCTGGCGCTAGGCCTCATCCCATAACTCACGTTTCACGATATTCCCATTATTCAGCATTTTAGCTCATATTTCATGTTCTCCACACAATCTCAATTTTAAAAAGAATAGCACATTAAACACATGGAGACGCACCTTCCACATATATTCTCACAATACCAATTCATTTGATATTACAAGTACTACATCAAGCAGAGTTCGGACTTACAATATTTGCATGGACACCATGGTAGCTCAATTTCTAAGAAGAGGGGGTTTTAGCCATACATACCTCAATAGAGATTTCCTCAAATCCTTACAATAAATTCCGGAATTTCCGAGCAACTTCGATCTATTTTATGAAAATTACAAATTGAACAAAGAATTAGAGACATGATTAAGGTTCTTGCTCATTTTAGTATTTTATCAAGCACAAATTATGCATTGTAATTTTAGGACCCTTTTGTGAGTGATTTTCATCACCTTACACCCCAATTGCTATCTTTTCAACTCTCGACCTCCCCATACCCTATTATCATTTATGTATGCATGAAAATTCATTCTCATTCCCAAGAATCCACTTGCTAAAGATTCATTCTAGTTTGAATTTCGAAATTAGAGGTTAGGGCTCAAGTTCATACCTCTTGGGGTGAAGGCCTAGCTGCTTTACTTGATAATCTTCAAGGGTTTAGGCAAGGATTGAGTTGGAACTTGGTTAAGATCACTCTCTCCCTCTAGAACCTCCTCTATCACTCTATTTGCAGTAACTATTTTCCCTCAAGGATTTGTATGCACCAGAGGTGCAGGTATCACAGTAGAGCTTTAATGTGTAATTTCCACCATGTTGAAGGGAGGTTATTAATGAAACAGAAGAGACGATGTGGGATTGAAAAGTAAGTAAGTTAAAGGTGAAGAAGGTACGAGATACTCGAGTACAAAATATTGTGAATAGTCAAGGCTTCAAATATAGTTTGGGTTTTAAGTTTAATTTACAGAGGAGACCCTAGTAAAAATTTTGTAAATCCCTAAAAGTTAACATTCGAGGACAAATGTTCTAAAGGGGGAAGGATGTTACACCCCGTAAGTTTAACAACATTGACACCGTTATATCCGTTTGATATGGTATTTTGAGTGGAATATTTTTGTAAAATAGTTTGAAATAAAAAATAATTTCATATAGTTATTAGTATTACTACTTTCGAATATGTTTTAAATTATACACTTCATATGAGAAAAGTTTATGAGATTTTCTTTATTGTAAAGATAGAAATATTTTTTTCTCAAGAAAAGAAGGTCATCTTTTTACCATTTTAAGAATTAAGTGTACGAAAATTTGTACTATTTATATGAGATGAGGAAAATTAGAAGTTGAGAAGATATATGTATTTTTACATGGGTGTTTTAATGAAATAATAGTACATGTATTAATTTTATGTGGTACCACATAAATATGATAGCAAGTTATATAAATTCTATTAAAAGTGAATAGTATTTTACGTAATTTGAGATAAGTCTTAATTATGCGGGTAATTGATTAATTACCGGATAGCGGGATACTAGCTAATTAATTATTGGATAAGCTTAAATTCTCCAACAAGGGATTACGTGGCAGCACCATGAATCTTCGTCAAAGCCAAGGGGTGACTCTTATTTCATGGGATTATATTGCAAATCGACGAGATTGATTTCAGGAGAGAAAAGTTCACTCCCAAGATTGAATGGTGTAGCTCAAGATGGGATGAATTTGCGTCAATCACTCCAATTCGAGCTTGATCTCTTAGCCCCACAACTCCCTTTTGATGATCATGTTGTAAAGACTCAGTCGTTGGCTCAATCTTGGAAAACCCAAATCCAAAGGTAGCTTTTTAAGCTTTTTATTTATTTATTGATTGGTTTTTCTCTTACACACCATGATACTGTGTAGAAGAGTGTATTCTCAATATCCAGTTTGCCCTATTTAAAACAGTTTCATTCCTATACTGTGTGTAAAAGTAATGTGAAGGAATTCAGCAATGTGGGGTTTCAAAGGTTGATTAGGAAATGGGGATTTTTAAATTTTCTTGTTTTCATGTGATCAAATTGAAATGTTTTAGTCTTTGGCACAACTTTGGAAACTCAAATCTTAATGTGGCTATAAAGTAAACACTTCATACATTTGTTCCAGGTTGATGCTATGATACTATGTAGAAAAATAGTTAGGGCTGCAGAGTTATTCGGTAGCTGCGCTGGTGGGAGGTAGCAGGTATCCGATGAAATAGCCAAGGTGTGCCCAAGCTGGTCACAATACCACCATCATTAAAAACAAAGAAGGGAGTAGTTGGGTGTGGCTATATATAATCTCTATATTTCTTCTACACTATTTGGATTTATTTCGTTCCTATACTGTGTAGAAGAGTAATGTGAGGAAGTCAGAGATTTTGGGCGTGAGGTTGGTTCAGAATAGGAAAGATTTTCACTTGTCTTGTATTTTAGTTTATAGATAATGAGTCGGGTGATCATTACTTGGTAATACAATGTGGAACCTGACAAAATATGGGTGCGCTTGTTTGGAAGACAGATTTAACTGAATTGGGTTTTTGGAATTAACTTAGTAATTACGTTATAATGGAAAAATTGGTATCCAACAAGATATCATTTTCCGAAGTCTGTATTTTCAAATGTGAATATGATTAATGTAATGCTATTCCATAAGCGGAACTGCTAGCAGAAGTAAGAAATCGACTAGCGCCGTCGTAAGGTGCAATTTTTCTCTCATCAAACTCTCTCTCTCTCTGTATCCATCTCTATATATATATATTCATGAAAGCCTAGGTTCTCACAAGTTAGGGTTTCTCTTTACTTGCGATGATACTACATTAATTCGATATTTACATTGAGCTATAGAGTAACTTTTGCGAGGATGTGTAATAATAGTTTCAACTTTATACCCAAATTTGTAATGGAAATTAATTCCTAAAGTTTTTTATTTTGAGTGTATATGCTGCTGAAAAACGAGCATTATGTGATGGATTACGATTGTAAAAGGCAAGGAACAACTCAACTCTATGTTCTTGATTCCCCATGTGACATATATTATATCTTTTGTTTATGGGTTTCAGAATAATACGCAATTGATAAAATTTATCCGAAGAGAATGTTGATATTATTAACATATTCTCATATGCATTTCATGCATTTATACTTGCACATTGACCCATGACCATATGACGTTATATACTCGTATATATATGTATATAGGATATGAGAAAGGTTATGGCGTTATATACGCACCACCACCTGATCAACTGGTATACGTTGATGATTTGCCCATAGTGGCCGAGATAATATGATGAGATGCCTTCAGAGGCGTGATGATGTCATGGCATTATATATGTATATATATGTATATGGGATATGAGAAAAGTTATGGCGTTATATACGCACCACGACCTGATCAGCTGGTATACAATGATGATTTTGTCCACATTGGCTGAGATGATATAATGGGATGCCTTTAGAGGCTTGATGATGTTATGAACACATGTACCTATGCATTACATGGCATTCATACGCATATGCATGACACTATAAGTATTAAATGATATACAGAGTTATCAAGACTCACATGTTGAGTCATGCACTCCATGTTTCTTTCATGTCCTTTATGTATTGATTTACATGCCTTACATACTCGGTATATTATTCATACTGACGTCTTTTTGTTATGGACGTTGCATTCATGACTGCAGGTATAAGTAATCAATTTGATGAGCCCCCATAGTAGACGAGTGTCACGACCCAAATCGGAGGGCCGCAACAGGCACCCGGTACTTTACTCTACCGAGTACTAATGTAACGTATCTTTCTTATCATACCATAATGGGTAAATGGTCCGGAAGGGCCGTCATGGTATAACCAGAATAAAACATAAGGGAATACTTGTCATAGTACGACCCAATATGTAATACAAACTTATACATGTGACATACGGTGCTACAAAACCAAAATGAACACTTGTACACTGAACATAGGCCGACAAGGCCATATAATCTTTCATATACATGACATATGTCTACAAGCCTCTAAGAGTGCATACGCATCATAATGGTCGGGACAGGGCTCCGTCATACCAACCAATACATGTCCAAATCAAAATGACCAAATAGGCAACTCTGGAGCAAGTGGAGTGCACCAACACGTTCCGCTAATATGATAGCCTACTAGGAAGACTGTCAACCTATCAATTGGGACCTTCGGGCATGAAACGCAGCGTCCCTAGGAAAAAGGAACATCAGTACGAATAAAGTACCGAGTATGTAAGGCAAGAAAGCATAAACAAGAACAGTAATGGAAAGAGAGATAGAGGAGATACAACCTGTAACATCTGAGTGCCAATGGGGGCTACTGACATGAAATGTATAATATATATATATATATATACATAAACTTTTAAAAACATACGCCTCCGTGGGCATCATCATCATCATCATATCGTACCCCGCCTCAAAGAGGACTTGGTAAAAATGTACCCGTCCATCATAAGGCTTGATAGAATTTTACCCGGCCATGTGGAACTCGGTAAACCCAACTTATCAGAGGTTGCACAATAGGTGTCGTACCCGACTGACTATAGCGTGGCTCGGTAGAGTAAAATAGATACTATATATAATGCATGCTAGACTCATGGAATCACGTTCTAAATCTTTCGTAGTCACTTAAGGTCGTTGCACCTTCGATTAAGATTATGGACATCCATACCCTTAATATGAATCTCAGTAGGATTCAAGGATCATACACACTTGCTTAGAATAATTTTATAAGGAAATAACAACATAGACAACCTTAGTTGCTAGGAGGAGATCCGTTATGAAATAGCGTATTCATTTCACTTTAGATCATGCCAAAAGAAATAAGGAAGTGCCTTAACATACCTTATCACAATCTTTCTAATCACCAAGTTAAACTTGCTTATTCGCACCTTTATCCACAACAATGATAATAATACTATCATCAAGTGATGTATGGTACAACTATCGCACAACGGGCGACATGCTTATTTTGTATAAAAACGGGCAGCATCTCCCCTATAATCCTTATTTCCTCCAAATTCATGATAACTCCAAAAACACAATAACAACATATATACATTATTTTCCGCCCTTATATTACACCATCAAATACTACAAAATAGCCCAACACACACCAATCTTTTCATACATAAAACGACCACCGTACTAGTGTCAAATGACCCGAAAATGTTACGACGCATGACCAGCCCACCATACTATATCTATATGGTGTTTCTCCACACCCTTCCTCCTCCAAAACTCCACAAAATAGTAGTAAAACATGCAGCCCAACAGTAACACAAAATAGTTCGTTACAAGTGAATAACTCGAACTCACGGCTTTCGATCACCGCCCCGTGAGTTCTTACAAGTATAGAAAGACTTACCATGTATTTACAACAGAAAAAATGGATGAAATAGGGAAATAAACTTACCTTATTTTCTGGATAACTTAGCCTTTATCTTAGTTCTTCCAACTCTAGGATTTACTCCCAATTAGAACTTGAAAGGGAGAGAAAATCAATTAGGAATTGTGGGTAATTTTTGGGAGGAAGTTTGCAGGGTTTTAGGTCTGATTAATTGTGATATATAATGAGGTTTATATTGCAGGATATAATCCCTTAAATGGGACCTTTGGGTGACCCAAATATGCCTCTTTTTGGGCTGTCATTTAACCAAGTAGGTGACAAACCTACTTGTCGTCTAGTAGCATGCGCAGTCTCGCAACACTGCATATATATCTCTACTCAAATATTTTATAGATAAACGGATTAATGCGTTGGAAAATAGACTCATAGAGCTTCAATTTGATAGGTGTAACAACCCATAACTCTAAGTATATTGGGAGAAAAGCGCAGTTATAATTGACCTAAGTTTCAACACATTTATGAATGTAACTTGTGATGACGTTTTTCAACTTTTGTTCCACAACTCGCTTGACTTCAAATCATAACACACGTCTATCATACGACTAAAATAACTCATAGCACAATCTCCTTATAATTTTAAACACCCTATTCTCGCCCCAAAAGTACATGTTACAACATTCCCAACTTGTCGACTTTTGACGAAACTTATTTTCTTCAATTCATTTAGCTTCTAAGCCTTCAAACCCTCTTGGTACTTGGTATTCATGATATTAAATATTTGTAACCTCCATTGTAAAATGATTAACTTAGTTTATGTACTTTCAATTTGATCTCATTTTTGAGCTTACATCAATTGACTTACGAATACTCTCATGTACGAAAACATGGGGTGTAATATCATTCCTCTCTTTGGAACATTCGTCCTCGAATGTTGACTGGTGCGCCTATTAGTCTCATAACCCATAGCTCTTGCAAATATTTTAATGTTATCCTTGCCATCTTGGCATCTGTTTTGTGTATGAATTCGAAGGCTAGGGCATTCCCCCCTTTAGGTCTATTTCTCACACCACGACTTGTCGTTGAAATTCTTCAAATCTCGTAGTTGTTCCGACCTTCTATCATGCAGCCTGTATGTGTGCCTATGCGACTCTTCTCTCCTACTTCCTTCAGCTTTTATCCAATCTCTAGGCCTTACTTTGTGAATATAAACAGAACTATGGCAAGTTGTCCCTTTAGGCATCTATAGGTGTACTAAAGTCTTTTCGCTTGGTACTTTATCTAACGTACGACTATTGCTATCTCTTGTTTCATACCCTTGTATATCTATCCTTATGGCTTTCCTATATCTAGGTAGGTTATACTATACCACAACACTTACTTCAGTTTATTATTACCGAGGTTTGCTACCCAACTACAGCTTACTCTCTCGTTGTTTATCCCATATGTATAAATCTAAGTCTTTTAGTGCTTCCTCATTGCTATTCATCTTAAGAATAACAAAGAAATCTCATCTCGTACTTTGGAACTTGCACACATCTATTGTTGATTCAACTTAATGTTGATCTATAATCTATCATTGATCACTTGAAACCTCTTTTGTAAAACATATCGTTAGGGCTCACGTCGCATCGGGGAACATCTAAAGTTATTTGCCTGATCCACCTAGGGACAATATAATACTTCATTTACTATATTTCATACCATTCCAACGTGATTCACCTTATGGGGTATTTTAATCCTATACAATTCATGAAATCCCTTTTCTTTGAATCATCACCCAATCAAAGGTCTAAACGTCATCCTCTTATCTATCACAATTGCACCCTTATTCTACCATTAGGGCAGCATTCCATCTTTTCTAAATTCTCCTAGCCATAAACTCCTTTGAGTTACTCATGCTATACTGAGCTTTTTATAACTTTATGGAAACCATCAGCTATCTTGTTGTTATTGTTTTAATCTGAGGACTTACATATTCTTGTCACATTCTCACTCACCTTTTCTTATCCTTACTCTTGTCTAGCTAAAACCTTGTCGCTCTACCATACTTTAGCTTGCGATCTACATATAACTATTTATACTACTCGCAACCTTCCTTTAACTTGCAAGCACCATATATTTCCTTATGTTATTTTGGAACCTCAAGCAAGACATCATATCATCTCTAACTCTTATTTACTCTCTTCACTAGACCTCTCTATATCTGGAAACCACATGCTAAAAAATATGCCACCAACGACACCACTATCATTTCTTTGATACATAATTGTGATGTTTCCAGCCCTCTATCTGATATCTGGATTATTCGTAACATTCTATACTTGGGCATCTCGTACTTTCTTCACACGTACCTTACTTACCTTTAAATCTTGCATCGTATCTTATATCTCTTTCATAACTCCCTTCCACATAGGTGGAATTCACATCCCCACCATAAAGCTCTACTATAATACTTGCACGTCATATGCATACACAACCTGCCGAAAGCTTCATACTGACTTCTTGTGAGGTTGGTACTGTTCTATCTAGATTTATTGTAGAGCCGTTATAGAATATGTCCGTTGTACTATCTCTTTTGTACCTCTAATATTTATAGTGATTCTACAATGTTCTGAATCACGATTTCTATACTCATCGGGGTCTAGTAATCAGACTCCTAATTCACTTTGCTGATGTAACTCTTTAGTTTCCTTCTTTATCTCAGCCTTTAAGTAGGCTTACTTTATCTTTTTATCTGTGGCTCAGGGTACTAGTTATTACTTTAGCCCCTCGTCGACGCTCTAGAACATCCATGATATAACCTTCTAGTAATACAAGCTTTTGTCTGTGACGTGGAGTCAATTCTTTCTTTTAACTTATACTGGAGTCTCCTATAGCTGTATCTTTGTCAACATATATGCTGCATGGATAACACTCTGAAATCTTAAATGTGTTCATAATGTAACTAACTCTAGTTCATAGATCTAATAATTCCTTTCGTACCTTCTCAGCTTTCGTTAAAAGTAAGCAATTATCTTTTTTGGTCGTTCTGCCACTTGTTGCATGAATACTTGCCTTATCTTAGTGCCCACATATATTGGAATTTTGTATAACTCATATGATATTGAATATTACTTTGGATTTTACTTCACGTTCCTTAGTTTCGACAGATGCCACTTTGTTATGGAGAGCATACAATGTCGTAGTGAGACTATTGTTACAAGACCATTATTTATTTAGGTCACTATGCTTTGTTTGAAGCCTTCTTCCTTATTTCCTTATCTAGTCTTTCATTGTAGTATTTATGGAAGACTCTCTGACTCTTATAAAGCTGTGAGATTATCCCATCATATACCTGACAAAATATTTGAGGTTCTTACTCACTTCAAATATCCTCAATTATATACCTTCATGCCCTTGTTCTCGCAGGGTTACTTCTGAACTCAAATTTTTTTTCTCCCCAGTGGCACTCTCTTTTATTTTCGTAACACTGTTTACGGCAACTATAACTACCTCAACTCCTATTTGAATATTTCTCAAGGATTGGGATGTCGTATCTTTGAGACTGAATTCCCTATGCTGGGGTTCACTAGGTTTATCTTGCACGATCAGTTAATTTATCTATATCCTCTTGTCTAGCCATAA